TTTTTTCTTTTTGCTTATGTGGTGCTGAGGAATTGAACCCAGGGCCTCAGGCATGCAAGGCAAGCGCTCTACCACGGAGCCACCTTCCCAGCCCCTCATCTTCCACTTTGAACGTAGGTTATGTGAGCTAAGACTGTTGGAAAATACAGAAAGATAGGATCTTGACAGTTTCCAAACACAGGACGTTAGCATTCTTTTGTCTATCTATGTCACATTTTCCCTCTGGGGAAACACTGCTGTGTCTTTGTGACGAGACACCGCAGCCTTCCACGGCCCCGGCCCCGTGCTGGGTTCTGGTCCCAGGCTGTCTCACTATGCTGCACAGGATCTGAAATGGATTTTATTTATTTAGCCAGTCCTGGGTCTTGAACACAGGGCCTGGGCTCTGCCCCTAAGCCTCTCTGCACTCAAGTGGTAGAACCCTAGCCTTGAGCACAAGGCTAGTGTGCTCAAGGCTAGTGTTCTACCACTTGAGTGCCACTTCTGGCTTTTTCCGTGTATGTGGTACTGAGGAATTGAACCCAGGGCTTCATGCATGTGAGGTGAGCACTTTACCACCTTCCCAGTCCCTGAAATGTATTTTAAAATTGAACTGGCCATGCCAGGGGCCAGGTGGGCCAGACTGGCCAAAAGCTACTCCCTGCTTTAGTGTGTGGCTGGTAATTTAGATAAGAAACTCAAGAATGAGTTTTAAGCCTGGAAACAAAGTCTGATTGCATAAGTCCCAGGCATATGTTCTGTGGAAGATTTGACTTCAGATAGAGGGTGTGGTGAGGGTTTGGAATTTCAGGGCTTGTGTGGCCTGTGGGAGCCTCCTACCTGATGATTGGCTAGCCTGGCTTCCAGGAGAGCGGGAGCAGGAGCTGTCCTGGGACCACTGGCAGGAGAGCCCGGCTCCACCATCTCCACCTCTGATCTCTCTTTCTGTTGCCCCTTTCCTGCTCACCCCAGGCAGGTCTAGATTCTACCCCTAGACTTGGGTGGTGAGTGTGTGACGCGGACAAGGGCGTTGCTGGAGACTGTGAGCTGCAGGCTGGCCCAGGCCCCTGATCTCGGATGGTGGGCTCTCTTCAGTTCTAGGCTTGCTCTGTGGTACTCAGCCTTGTTCATGGCCATAGATTACAGGAGCTCAAAGCAGAGGCCTGGGAGTGAGATGGGATCCCTTCCCATCTCTTCTAAGGGGATGCATGCCTTCTTCAAACTTCTCCAGCTTACATTAGAAGGCAGTGCCTGGTCCTTGTGGGTTAGCCTGGTGAATTAGAAGATAGGATTATGCTGTGGAGTGGATCCCAGGTTGCTGTGAGGAGCAGCATGTGTTGGTGGGGTCCTTCACCTCTCCACGGTAAGCTGGGATCACTGTCGCTAAGGGTTCTGACTGTAAGCTGGGGTCGCAGCTCGCTGAGTCCTGGTTAAGGAGCTTTTCCGTCTGTCTCCTGTCAACCTTGCATCCAGGAGCCTCTCTTGGGCCATCCCTTCCCTGCTGCTGGCTACATGTCCTGCGGTGCCCTGGCAGGGTCCCCTGCCTTTGGTGCCATCCTTTCCCATCTCTGCTTGGCTTTTGTGCTGCTGCCCTCTGCAGGGCACTCGTGGAGGTGCTGCTAGTTTCCTGCTGTGTCCCTTCTTTGTGCCTGGTGTCTACAGGGTTTCTCTTAGTCCCTGCACATGCTCAGTAGTTAATGACCAGCCAGACTGCCCTGCCTGTACTGTGTACCGTGTCTCTGACCTTGGCCTATGTTGAGAAACACTGCATGCTGCACCAGGAGAGAGGTCCATGGCCAGGGCCAGTGCAGACCCGGTGGAGCTCCCTTTTCTGTCTGCATGGCCTTGATGACTACTCATCCGTGCAGGCCACCGATCCAGGGCTGCCTGCCCGGTGGGGCTGGACTGCAGTACAGAGGACTGGCTTGGCAACTAGAGGAGGTGTGGGGTGGGCCGGCCCTGAGGTCAGGCACCCTCTGCACGTGCATCCGGCCTCGCAGGCAGAGCTGCAGTGGCTAGGAGGGGACAGGCACTCTGGCCCTTCAAGGGTCTGGGTGAGGAGCCAGCGTCCTGAGCGCGCGTGCGGTCTGCGGGGCTGTTTTAGGCAGGGAGGCGTCTGCCCCGCTGGCAGCTGTGGTCCAGGGGACGAGCGCTGGCTCCAGGTCAGGTCACGTGATTCCTGGTTCTTCGAGTGGCTGTGGGGAAGGCGGGGTGAGCACCGGCAGCGCCTCCTTAGCATTTTAGTTCTTCTCAGTGCCCTGGAGTCTGGAGACACCAGACTGCCTTCCGTCCTGGGCCGGCAGGCTGCCCAGGGCTTGGCGTGGAGCGCATTGGTCAGAGTGTAACCCCTGATGTGGCTCTTTCTCTTCCAGCCCTGAAGCATGGCTGCCATGTTGGGAGATGCCATCATGGTGGCCAGAGGTCTGGCCAGGCTGACGCAGGCCTCTGTGGAGACTTGCCTGCAGCACCTGGGTCTCGGTGGGGAGCTCATCGCGGCCGCCAGGGCCCTGCAGTCCTCCGCTGCCGCGCAGGTCGGCGCGGTCTTCGGGCGGGGGCAGGTAAGAAGCACCTCGTGGCGGTGGGGGTCAGGGTGCTCGTGGAGAGAGGGCCACGCTGGCTGCTCTCGGTGAGACCCAGAGCCCAAATCCAGACAGGCACTTGCGTCTGGTCTTGTGGTCAGGGCCAGACAGCCCAGAGACTCGTCTGTCCTGCTGTCCTTCTGGGACAAGGTGGGGCCTCTGTGCGGGTGTCCTATGGTAGCAAGATTCCACCGACGGCGTAAACAACAAGGGCTTCTTTCTTGAGGTTTAGGACAAAGGTCTGGTGTCTCCATGCAGCCGTCAAGATCTCCCCAGGCCTCTAGTCAGTATCCCTAGCGCCTCCCAAGGCCGCGCAGCGGCTCCTCTCCCCCAGACAGACACCTCTAAGGACCGTGAGGTCCTTGATCTGTCCTGGGATGCTGCAGCCTGAGGCTCACCTCCGTTTCTCAGAAGAGGAAGTTGAGATCAAACAGTTGCTGAAAGA